AAGCTGACAGAGATAATTGTGCTTTTCTGGAAGTCCTTCCCAGAATCAGAGTGAATGGGGACAGTTGCCTGCAGCCCCAGGGGGAGCTGTGCAGACCTGAACTGTGCAGAACTGTGCAGAGATGTGCAGAACTCTGCAGAAATGTGCAGTCAGAGCCTTGCCCCTCTGGTCACCAGGCTGGGTTTCTCTGGGGAACCAGTAACAGGTTGTTCATTAGGTAATTTGTGTAATGCTTGACTGAAAAGCAGTGTACATTTGCAGGCCTAAAATCACATGCAGGCGTGGAATCCCATCCAGAATCAGCACAATAGTATATTTAGTCTTCAGCTGCAGAGAACTGCAAAGAACATTTCCTGAGCCTCTCAGTCCATCAGTCATGCTTGTTCAAATAAAGCAGTGAGTTTGTTTCCCTGCTAGTTACTGACCCCAAAGTCATGAGTAAGGGATCCTGAATAATGTGTAAAGGCTGTAACTGGTTCAGAAACCCTTTAATTGGCTAATTAAAAAGGGTCCTATAAGGGGCTGCAGAGAATCACCCCAAATGTTCCTAATGCAGCCTGACGTTTTGATTTCCCCCAGTTTGAAGCAGGACTTTTGGTATGATGGCAGTTTGGGTTAGGAAGGGTAGAATTACTTTCTTCCAACAACTCATTCATTCCCCCAAAGAGTGCTGACACAATCAGATCTCTCATCGGGGTTTAATGCTAAGTCTCATAGCCCTGAAGCAGCACAAAAATCTCTATTTCCTGAACATTTCACTGACCTGTGGTGTTAAGAACTTGCCAACTAAGACAAACCATTAAATGAGCAGGGAGCCACAACAGTAAAAATACTGCATGAGGCAGCCATGGCTGGTAAGACCTCAGGGTCTAAATCCAAGAATATTTTATCATCTTGAGTGCTACTGCTGCCCTTTCCAGAGGCAGGGATTGAATTCCCTGTGTGGAGGCACAGCTTGAAAGGCACCACACACGCAGACCTGGCCCTGGGCTCCTCAGTGATGCTTTGCAGCTTTCTCTCCTGTCCATTGGTGAGGCAGGTTTAATTCTGTGCAATAAGCAGCTATCTGCACTTGTAGACTTTGGATTAAATTATTAATCAAGCTGGGGTTTAGTCTTCTGTGTTTCCAAGCAGGAGCTGTTTGTCCCGTTTGTGGCATGACAGAATTACAGGGTAATTAAAGCCAGAAGGGATCTCTGGAGGGTTGAGCACAACCTCCTGCTCAGAGCTAAACACATTTCTGGTGCCCAGGCACCACCTGGGTTCCAGGGGAGGGCCTTTGGTGTGACAGGTTTTGCACTGGGGCTGTGCTCCACTGTCACATCAGCCTTAGGATTTTTAGTACATCCTTACAATCAGAATCCCGTTTTTGTTGAGGACATTCTGCAAACACCCACTTTCATTTCCTCCTGAAAAAATTTACATTTATGCACATTGTAAAGGTGATGAATGTGTTGACAGTTTGGTGCAGGTTTTCTCTATTCAGAATTTCCTGAAATGATCCTGAGACTTCTCAGTTTATTCCTCCTGCTCTCCATTAGCTCCCAGGGTGTGCATGATCAAAAGCTTTCTTTTCATTACCAGGAAAAATAATAGGTTAAAGTAGAGAGAGAGAGAGACTTGTGAATGCAGTTGTATTTTGCATTTTCCTCACAGCCTCCCTCATCCTTCTGCCAAAAGCTCCCCATAATGTGCATATCCAGAGCAGTTGAAGGAAAAGCAAATATTGATTGTCTCGAGCTGAAGTGAAGCAGTGAGACAGATGGAGCCACATCATCATATTGAAGCATAAAGGTCAGGGAGTGAGCTGCAGAGAGCTTAAATTCAACAGGGCTCAAAGAACAGGGATTGCTGCTGCTGACAGATTTGTTAGAAACCTGTTTAGCTGCCACAAATATGGAATATATCCAAACAGAAGCATCTATCATTGTTGGAATGATAACCCCGAATACATTTATTTCTTGTTTGCCTTTTCTCATTCTTACTTTTGACCCACACAGACTTTGGACTCAGCCTGAACATCATTTGATTTTTATGGTTGGCTTCATTAGCTTTTAGTGCAATTTCAGTGGCTCAGTTACTAAATCACATCCCCTGTGGTTGTGGTTGCATGTGTTCCACAGGCCCCTTGGATGTGGCACATGACTTGGAGGCCCGTTTCTACTTTAGTTTATGCATTTTGGACCAACAAACCCTTTTGATTTCCACCTTCTTTGTGAAGTTAGTGCTGTTGTATCTGCACAGACTGTTTGAATTTAGCAGCACAAAGATGAAGACATTCTGCCTGGAGCAAAACCAGTGTGAAACATTCGTGCTTGGCTGTCCTTGTTGTCAGGACATCTTCATGTGGCATTGCTGAGACAGCTCTGATGTGTGTCTCTGTCAGAGCTCTCTTTATGATGTATTTTCTTGTTTCCTTTTCCCTCCTCTTTTCCTCAGAGAACTCTAAAAACTTATGCTTTGGGATGTTTAGGATTGTGGGGAGGTTCCTTAACACACTCTGATGGTTTCATTTCTCAAAGCTCACCTATAAGAGGAGTGTCCCCACTGAGCATTTGCTGCCTCATAATCAGACATGGATTTGCTGGATTAACCCCCAGTATTTTGGCTCCCCTTCCCTGTTTCTGTCTCAACAGCAGAAGGATTTGGCTGCATTGACAGGGGTACAGATGGAATAGCAGTGGCCAGAGCGGGTGCTGATGTTAAGTGACATTAAATAATGGAATATTTCCATGCCTTTGCAGCAATCCCTGGGGGTGGGCAGTGCCACCCAGCTCTGCTGAGGCCATCCAGCCCCAGCAGCCACTCAGCCCACGGTGGAAAAGACATCTGACTCACAGGAGGGAGCTTCAAAAAAGAGAGGGAGAAAACTGGGAGTTGTTCAGTGTTCCCTCCTTGCAGCTGGAAGCCTGGGATCTCCTGATGGGGCCACACTTCCAACTCTTTGGGATCTCCTGATGGGGCACACTTCCAGCTCTTTGGGATCTCCTGATGGGGCCACACTTCCAGCTCTTGGGATCTCCTGATGGGGCACACTTCCAACTCTTTGGGATCTCCTGATGGGGCCACATTTCCAGCTCTTAGGATCTCCTGATGGGGCACACTTCCAGTTCTTTGGGATCTCCTGATGGGGCCACACTTCCAGCTCTTAGGATCTCCTGGTGGGGCACACTTCCAACTCTTTGGGATCTCCTGATGGGGCCACATTTCCAGCTCTTAGGATCTCCTGATGGGGCATACTTCCAGCTCTTGGGATACCCTGATGGGGAATCCCTGATCTTTGGGGTCTCCTGTTGGGGCCACATTTCCAGCTCTTTGGGGTCTCCTGTTGGAGCCACATTTCCAGCTCTTTGGGGTCTCCTGTTGGGGCCACACTTCCAGCTCCTGGGATCTCTTGTTGGGGCCACACTTCCAGCTCCTGGGATCTCTTGTTGGGGCCACACTTCCAGCTCTTGGGATCTCTTGTTGGGGCCACACTTCCAGCTCTTCCCTGGCTGTGTCCATTGCCCAGGGAGGTTGGGGTGAGGGAGCCCAGCAGGGCTGGTGCCCCCTGCCCCACCAGCAGCCCCAGGAGCCCATCCCAAGGCAGGCATGAGAGCCCTGAGCTCCAGGGAAAGCTGCCTGTCCCCAGTGGGTGTGAGCAGAGCTGTCCCAGGTGTGGGGTGTGGGGCAGGTGAGGTTCTGTCCCAGGGGATGGGCAGAAGGGACCCTGGGGTTGTGTCCTGGGAAGAGGCTGCCTGAGAGTCCAGCACATCTGTCAGCTCATTGTCTGGGCCCAGCACAGAACAAAGAGCACAACAACAGAAGAAATGCAAAATGCATTTAAAAATACTCTTTCATTTCCCTTTTTGCCAGAAGCAGAAGTGCTTAAATAACAGAGGACAAAAGCAGCTCTTGCAGAACTTCCAAGAGTTGGGAAAAATAAAAAGCTCTGTGAGAAGGACTGGGTTTAGGAGATTTTCCCCCTTGTTCTGCCCAGTCTGGGGAACCCCCAGAGCAGGCAGAGCTGCTCCCCCTAAAGCAGACAGCAGCTCCTGGCTGCAGCATTCCCAGTCCATCAGGTCCCTGGCATATGTGTCCCCTGGCCAGTTTAAAAAAAAGCTTTCAGAAAGGTATAAAGCAATTTTTTTCCCTCCCATCAGTACTTTTCTTCTGCAAATTGCTTGGCTAAAAGGCTCAATGGAATATGAAAATCAAAGGGGTAAAGATTTAAATCTAAAAAAAAAAAAGGAAAGCATTGCAAAAAATGTTTCTGTATTTAAGGAGTATTTGTGACCAGAGGAAGTACCCAGTCTGTAAATGAATGTCCTGTCACTGCTGATACACTCTTACAGCACAGGGGTTACTGTGGTGGTGCTCCATACAGGGGGATCCAATTTTATTTTCCTCTCTAAATGTAATTTTGTGTAACTCAGCATGGGGACGAGCTGCATGGATGCAATAATTAAGGGCAGCAAAGCTTGCAGGGGTTCAGGGAGAGGCTGTCCCACATGCAGTGAAGTGCTTTTGCACCGAGTACAATGAATATTTGGTGCTTTACCACGGCTTTGGGGCTGTCAGTGGCATTCTGTGGGAATCCAAGTGGTCTTGGCTCAAAGCAGCAGAAAGTTTGCTGAGCTGCTGACCCAGTGTGACCATTCACAAGATGTGTGACCTTCTGGTGCCCTCCACCAGTCAGGCTGGCTGGACTCAGGCCTGGTAAAAAGCAGATGTTGCACCTGTGCTAAGTATTTCATTCCTCAGTCTGGCTAATTTCTACATAAACATTGAATTTTAATATGGATGTAAGCTCTTTCCTGGCGAGAGAAGTGTTCAGTGATGAGTTTCAGTGAAATGCTGGTGCTTTCTGTTAGGACTGGGAAGGTGCTTGAAATGAAGTCCATTTTGAGAGCTTTGCTAGCTTAATGCCCTTGATTTGTCTCACTTTTTTTTTTTTTTAATAAGTTCTATGATTAAAAAAAAAAACCCACAGTGATGTTAGTGTTGTGATATTCTTGTAGATGGGCAGCAGATCTGGGAAATGGAGGCAACGGTGGACAAAGACAAGAGCCAGCCTGTGAGTATGAAACACGGGGTGTTCTCTCCTGGGAAGCAGCTTGTGTTCAAGGGGGGCTTCCAAGGAGCTCCTCAGAAGCAGAAAGAGCAGCATTGCCACGATGAACAAGTGCCAAATGCTGCAGCAGTGCATGTGCTGCAGGAGGGATTGATTCCTGCAGAGAAACCCCCCAAGGGAGTCCCTGCTGCATTCTGTCCTGCACACCCGCGGTGCCAGCCCAGGCTCTGCAGGGTGCTGCCCCTGTGCCAGCCCTGGCTGCTGTGCCCACACCCAGGGTTTGTCCTGCAGGATTTCCAGTGCTCTTTGGAGGGAAGGAGCCCCTCTGTTCCCTTGGCTTGCTGGGACCTTGGTGGGCAGCAGAGCTCTCAGGAGCCAGCAGTGACTCTGCCATGGGCTGTGCCTGCCCAGGAGGCAGCAGGGTCTGCCTGTGGATCAACCAAAAGCCTACAGAATAACTGAGTTACTCTGACAAAAAGAGGGAATTCTGCAGTGCATGCTCCTTTATCAGGCACTGTGGGATTAGCAGAGCTTCTGCATTTGTCACCATTTCATGTTTTATTTGTAGCTGCGACTTCTCTCTCCAAGTGCAGGAGGGATACAGTCTGTAGAAACCAAGGGATACAGTCTATAGAAACCAACTTGCCAGTACCAAAAATCTTCTGGTCTTCCACCATCTGCCCCTTTTTTCTCACACCTTTCTTTATAGGGATGAGTAGGGAGATTCCTCTTGTTCTGGCTGGAGGTGTAGCAAGGGGAGCTGCAGCCAAAGCCCTGCCCAGGCTCAGGTGCTGATCCCTTGCTGTCCCCTGTGTTATTTCTTTCAGAGCATGCTTTTTGTGGAGATTCCCGAGTACAGGAACAAGCACATCCGCACAGCCGTCAAGGTGAACTTCTATGTCATCAATGGCAAAAGAAAAAGAAGCCAGCCCCAGCATTTCACCTATCACCCAGGTAATTGTCAGGGGCAGAGCCACTTGTTATCTAAGTTCATGAGCAGGATTTGATTTTCTGCTCTGTTGTTTTCTTGCTGTTCTTTGAGAATCTAAATGTTGCTAATTTAATTCAGCTCAGCCCTCAACAGCTGCTTGGTTTAAAGGTGCCTGTGATTTATTTGTGAGGAATTATTTGTGAGGAATTTCCATCAGTTTGGGTGTCAGTTATCTGTTACTCTGCAATGGGCTGATGCTGCCCCGTTCACTTGGTGGAAGTTTGCCAAGAGCCTCAGTGGGAACAGGCCCAGTCTGGGACATGCTGTGACCCTCTGAAAACCATGAGTGTTGCTTCTCTGACGTGTCCAGCAATAAGAAAACATCAGATCTGGGAAAAGGCTTGGGATGGAGGAAGGCAAGCAATATATATTCTTCAGAGTGAGGCTAGTTGAGAAAAATACGAATGCTTTTGTGATGTCCTTGCTCTGGGGGATTGGTGAGCCATGTCACAATAAATGCAACAGCATTATTAATGAGATTCCCAGAATTTCTCAGCTTTGGCTGGGGAGAAAATATTGTGAGAAAACCAGAGTATTGTGTTTGTGGAAAGCAGAAAGCATAAAATAACAGCACCACATTTTATGCAAGCTTCAAATGATGTCTTAATTTGACTTGTCTCTTAGGAAAGGCAAACATTCGTTCAGGCTCTTATTTTGGTCTCCTCCAGCCTGAAAATCTCTGGTGTTCTCCCTGAATTTGTGAGCTCTGTAGGGTATCACTAATGTGAAGGGTTTGTACCTAAATTGTTCTGCTCTGGAACAGTATTGAGAAGCACACTTCTCTCTCAATACAATCCCTAAAACAGACCACTTAGGAGAAGGAATCTTTATTTCCAGACAGGAATTTTGCATGACCACTGTATGGTTTCCATTGTGTGGTGTTTCTGTAGTGAGTTTTGGGGAAGACTTGACCAAAAGTCATTGGAAATGCAGAGGACCATCATTTACCCCACGAGGATTCACACAGCTCTTGTTAAATCCTGGTCTTTTAAATGATGGTGTCAGACAGGTCTTCAGCTCAGTGCTGAGGAAGATTTGTGCAGCAGAGACAAAAGCTCTGGAATAGTTCAGCTCTGCCTTTGGTCACTTGTTAAGTGTTTGACAGAAAGATGGGGAGTTGTTTATGTCCTGGGATTTCTATTGATTGGAAGTACTGCATGAAACACCTATCTATGACTTCTTATTTGGTCTCTGTTCTAGAATGGCCCTTAAATGAATTAAAACAGGAGCTGAAGTGTTGAATTTTTCAACTTTAGCAATTTGTGGTTCGTTAGTGCATTAAAGATTTTTCAAGAACCTCTTAGCACAGAGTGCTTTGAAGAATCTTTGCCGTGGTTGCACGTGGGTGATTTATTCAACTCAGTGCTTGTGACATATGAATTTACACACACAAATCTTGTAAAATGCTTAAATCTCTTATTGCTTCAAGGAAAAGCTCTCTGTTTCTCCTCAGCTCGTTACGAATAACGTCCTTTGCATGCTTTATTCTAGTACCATCAATCAAAACAGAGCCCATTGATGACTATGATCCAGCCCTAATCTGCAATCCAGTGCACAGTGCTCTGGGGACAGTAACACAGCCTTACTATTCACAGCACTCAATGGCCACCGAGTCCCCTTCCTGCCTCGTGGCCACCATGGCTCCTTGCCAGCAGCTGCGCTCAGGCCTCTCCTCTCCCGACTCGCGGTACCAGCAGCAGAACCCGGCTGTCAATTACCAGAGGAGCAAGAGCCTGAGCCCCAGCCAGCTGGGCTACCAGCAGCCCGGCCTGATGGCCGCGCCCGCGGCCATGGCGGACGCGCACAGGTCCGTGCTGGTGCACGCCGGCTCTCCGGCCCAGAGCTCGGCCGTGCTGCAGCACTCCCCGGCCCACCAGCAGTCTTCTCCTGTCATCCACTACTCTCCAACCAACCAGCAGCTGAGGTGTGGCAGCCACCAGGAGTTCCAGCACATCATGTGCTGCGAAAATTTCACGTCCGGCGCGTCGAGGCCCGGCCAGGCGCAGAGGCTCAGCCCCAGCTCGTACCCCACGGTCATCCAGCAGCAGCAGGCGGCCCCGGGCCAGCGGGCGGCCAAGAACGGGCCACCAGGGAGCGAGCAGAAGGACGTGCTGCCAGCAGGAGTGACCATCAAGCAGGAGCAGAACCTGGACCAGGCCTACCTGGACGATGGTAAGTGCTGTGCCCTCTCAGGGCTGCTGGGGTGGAGGGAGGGGTGAGGTTAGAGTTCTCATTGCTCTGTTCCTCCCCGTGGCCCCTTGGTGGGTGTGGACATTTGTGTGCATTCAGGCTGGATTGGGGTCTCTCATTAGGTGCATTTTTGGTTGATGGCAAAGCACTTTGGTCACTCACCCACAGGACCCCTCTGCTTGCTCCGTGCCACTTTGAGCTGGTCCCATTTTGTCTCCCTTTGCCAAAGGTTCCATTGCCAGTTTGGAAAATGGCGGATCTGAAATTACTTCTTCATTATTTTATTATATTTTTTCATATCAGGGCAAAGTCCACTTTGTAAAATGCTCTTGTACATTTTGTACCAAAAAAAAAAAAGCCCATTGAGCAATCTATCAAGGCCTGTAATGAATGGGGTAGTGCTGCAGGCAAAACCATTGCAGATGTTCTAGATGAACAGTGGGACATTGATAAGTGAAACAATGCTGTTCCTTTGTTGTGAGCCAGCTGATTTAGCCTTTAGGAATGAGCATAAGTTAGAGTAAAGCTTTCTTTGAACATATCCTGCTTATTCTTAGGTAGGCAGCTATTGGCAGTCTGCTTGATTGGTTCTTTTATTAAAGCATGTTTCTGGCAGGAGGAAATCAATGCAGAATTAATAGTGCAGCTGGACACTGCAATCACAGAGAGCAGCAGCAAACCCAACATTGATTTTAGTGGGAGCAGAGTGAGGCTGCTGGGAATACTGCTGCAAGTGCAGGATGTTCCTGTGCAGGAAGTACAGACCTGATTGTCACAAATGAAGCTCTGCTCTCCTCTCAGTGCAGGCAGTTGCAGGCTTGGTCTCCTGGGTGTGCCCCAGGATGTGCTCCAAGCACCCAACAGTTTGGGATTTTTCCTGCACTTACCTGGAGTTGTGAAACTGTGCCTGTGAAAGTTTTGCTTTCCTCAGCTTGGATCCTGAGTGCTCTGTATCGAGTGCAGCCTTCACTGCTGGCTTTGTGGGCAGAGTTTGGATGGTTTCCTCTGTTACTGTGTTTGCAGAGTGGTTGATGCAGCTTTAGTGCCATCGCAGTGAAATCTGGAGAGTTTTTACTGCTTCCCTTCTCTGAGCAGGAGATTCAGGAGTCCTAAATTTAAGTCGGGAGATTCACTTTTCATTCAGGGAATTGGGCATGATAACAAAGCAAGAGGATTTTTCTGACAGGAGAACTAAACACTGTTATTTAGGGTAATTTTAATATGAGAAGCTGAGAGTTTTTTCCACATTTCCAAAAATACTTGGTACACACCTTGTAAAATAAAGAACAGAAAGAATCTTGAAGTAAAAGCTGACTTCAAAGTCAAGCCATAGTCCACTTAAAAGAACTCCCAAGACAGATTGCAAAGTTAATTTTGCTGAGTTTTGAATCAGGAGCAGCACAGCTCACCCAGAATGCACTCAGCCTCCCTGCTAAGGGAGCCATCAGGCAGAACAGCAGCAATTAATAATGAAATCCCAGGCTTCTCCTTGGCTGCCTGGATCATCTTCAATTGATTTCAGCTAGAAATTGCTTTATCAACAATGCCACCCATGTCAGGCCAGGCAAGATGGGCCACATGCAGTCTCTTTACTGACCTCAGTGAGTTTATATCAGCTGGAAGTGTGACTTGGAGAATTGTGATTTACTTTAGGGCTTTGCAAAGCATTTCATTCTGAAATGTTCAGGACTTGAATTGAAAAGCCACATTGTTTGCTGCTGGGGAAAAGTGACTCAGAACATAACAAAAGCCATGTTTTTCCTGACTAGAAAGTTTGGGTTTGTGCTTTATGGCATTAAAAGAAAGCAAGCCCAAAGGATTACGGAGGCTTTGCCCTTAAATCCCTTTTATCCAGAAAGCCCTTGTGAGATAAAGTGAGCTGTGAGGTCTTGCAGTGATTTTCACGGGCAGACACGGAGCTGGTGCTGGCCCAGGCAGGCTTGGCACGAGCCAAGTGCTGCTGCTGCTGCTGCCCAGGCTCTTGGGCAATCACTGCTGCGTCTCTCACTTCCCTTCTCTCTTCCTCCCTCCCCCCATCTTCCTGCTCCCCTGCCTTGTTCTCCTTTCTCCAGAGTTCTGCTGACATCCAGCTTTCGTCCCTTTGCTCTCGTGTCTCCTCTCAGCAGCCCCTGCCTCCACGGTAACACACAGCCTCGGTGCTCTGGGCTTTCTTTCTGTTCTGTTCTGAGCTTTGTGCAGTGACCTGGGCATGGCCCACGCTGGCACATCCTCATTCCTGGAGCTGGTGCCTCTCAGAGTGGGCACGCTGAGAGTGCTGGGCTGTCCTGGCAGTGAGCAGAGCAGAGCATCCTGCAGCTGACACTGTTGTCATTTCTCTTCACCCCTCTCAGCTTCCTGAAGTCACTGCTGGCAGCACCTCTCATTGTTTTCTTCTCTTCCCTGCTGTAAAAACATGTTGTCCTTCCTGAGACCATGGCTTGGTTTTGCTCAGAGCCTCCACAGGGCACAAAACACTGGGAATTCAGCACATTTAACCTGCCTTGAAGAGATGAGAGCTGTTCTCCCCTCTGCAGGAGGATTCCAGGTTCTCAAGGTTGAATGCAGCCAAACCAGCCTGGAGCCCAAGGCAGGTGGTGGCAAGGATTTACCATCTTCTCAGATGGGTTTTGCCGTGTGCCAGGAGTGCTCAGTGCCCAGCTGGTGCCCTCCCCAGCCCCCTGGTGATCATTCCAGCAGAGGTGCAGCTGGTGTCTGGCCCTGCTGCAGATGTGCAGAGCTGCCACTTGCTTTCTGGAAGGAGACTTTGGCCCCTCTTCTCAGGTGCCCAGCCCAGCCCCTGGAGCCTCCTGCAGCTTCCCAGCCCTGCCCTCCCAGCCAGAGTGACAGAACAGGAAGCTCCTCTCCCCAGTCAGAGAGGGTGGATTTGGACATGCACCCATCAGGGACTGATGCAAGTTCAGCATTGCCACACATGACTGCCTTCACGCACATACCCCTCCATATTTCTGTGTAAAATAGATATATCTGTAACTTTCTGATATCAAATACTGGGAAGAATCCCCAGAGGAGGGGACTGTTCATGAAAAAGTGCCAGGGAAACCTTTGTTATGCACCTCTGCATCAGAGATTCATTGCTGCTGGAATTATTTAGGGGGTGAGGATAGTGGCAGGAGTGTCCCTGAGTGCAGGAGACCCTTGGGGATGCACCAGGTGTCCAGGCTGGTGATGGCAAGCAGGGACAGCCTCAAATGCAAGTGAAAGCCATGGGGTGACAGAGTGATAAGCTCCTTTCAGCCGAGGCCTCATCTTAATATTATTCATAACCAAACCGCCCACGATGGTAAAAGTTACCCAAACAACCACATAAATATGTTGACAAATAGAATGTAGTTCCTCCAGCACCCTCAGAGCACTGAGATTAACTCTTTACAGCACAAACCCAGCCCAAAATGTAGTTCTTTGCAGCACTGTCTGCAGTGCCCTGGTGAGGCAGGACACTGATTGTGCTCCTCCTGCATGGTGGCCCAGCTGCCACGGGCCAGCTCCCCCTCTGGGGCACAGACACCAGGCTCAATTCCACACACAGATCGTGGCTGTGTAGCTTGGGTGTTATCAGCTTAGATTGAGATCTTTTCAGGTCAGCTGTCAGGCTGAGCTTTGCAAAGAGAAATGATTGTCATTATTCAAATAGTAACTGTCTAACCACATCTGACACTCCAAAGTCTGCTGGATACAGCAGCTCAAAATTATTTTTGGTGCACAGAAATGTCCTCTGGGGAGGAGGGGAGCAAGGCAGATGCTGTGTAGTGGTTTATCAGGCTGCTGATCAGCAGAGATGTTTTATGGTGAGCTCAGGTATTTCGCAGAAAACTTGAGCCACGTCAGATATTTCTTTAGAATGCGGCTGTGCAGGATGTGCAGTGTGGTCCTCACATCACCCAGCTCTTCTGATCACCTCCATGACAAGCTGGGTGTTCCCTGTGCAGTTTTTCCTCACCAGCAGCACTCAGAGTGTTACATCCCCACATTTCCTTCCTGTGTTCTTTCATTCAACAGTGAGAAAACCCTCAGTCTGTCCCCCTGGCACCGTGACATGAAAATCACATCCCTTTTTTCCTTCACCTTCAGCAGGAAGCTTTCTTTTCTGGCCAGCTCTGTTCTCCCTGGGCAGGGAGTACCTGCAGGAAAGCCTGTCAGAGCCCAGAGTGCTGCTCCAGCACTGAGCTCCCTGCTGCCAGCCCGTCCTGGGGGCTCTGGCTCGGTGCTGGCACGTCCTGAGCATCCTGCTGGCCCTGCCCGTGGGTGGAGGGCTGGCACAGGCAGCTCTGGCAGCTCCTGCCAGCCGGGGCTTCCACAGGGAACCCCTCTGAGCTCTGGAGCTGCCCTGCCAGGGTCCTGCCTGGCTGGAGAGCAGCTGATTTCTCTCTAAACACTGCCTTGAGCCCCTGCACAGACAGCACAGAGGATGGTGGCTCTAGGGGCATGTTTTAGGTTGGTTTGTAGTTGTTTTTATCTTGTGTCCACGCACAGAGTCAAGTAGCAAGACAGGGCAGAGGGGAATGTTCTTGTTTGCTGGCATTTTAGACAGGGGTGAATTTGAATCCTACAAATGGGCTGGGGTTCAGTTTCGAGCAACAATTTGCATCTAAAAAAGCCTTGCTCTGTTTTTAATTAGAACTTCTTTTCATAGAAGGTGTGGTCACTTCTGCTCAGGCAGAGTTTGACTAAGAGTGAAGCCTGTATATGCTCCAAAACATTTTGCTCAAACACTCTAGCAAATCTATGTATTCATCAGGCTCATTCCTGAAGCTCTGACTCACATTCTTACAGATTTTCTGTTCTCTGCTGGGACCTTGCAGCGCTCCCTCGGTACCCTGCAGCTTTATTTTTGGATCACTGCTCGTGTGGGTTTGTGTCAGGATCTCCATGCCCTGTCCTGTGCCTCGCTTTTCTAGAGGCAATATAAAAAGAGAAAAAGCCATCGTTCTGCTCCCAAAACCCTGAAGTCTGTTGGCAGGAAG